TGTTGATGAGTCAGGTGTTCATGTGGAGTATGTCCGTAATGGACAGGGATTGTCTAGTGGGGTCTGGGTGTGCAGTCCAGTGGCAGTCAAAGGTGGGGGGATCTTTATTAGTCTTGCTTGCGAGGTATAGTGTGGCGTGTCGGCCATATGTCTTTCTTGCATTGGCGAAGGCAATCCGGACGAAAAAATTGATCGCATTGGGTAGGCTATCTGAGGATTGATCTATTGGGATGGTTTCGTAGCAGCGTGAGATGTCGGTAGCAAAAACGTTGTAGATTTGATTGGGTATATTGTAGATGTTGTCAGTTGTGGAGTCGATTATCCACCAAAAGCGAACCCTGTGTTCTGTTTTGAGAAAGGTTTGTTCAGTGAGCTGTCCACAATACTCCTGAACCTCGTGTTTGAGTTTATTGAGGATTACCGAGCAGGCATCTGCAAGTGGGGAGAGCACAACATCGGCAGCGTTGGTAAGCCAGCGAAATGCCTTTTTGTGTTTTTTGTATGTGGCGAATAGGTAAGGTATGGCAGGKTTGCCAGCGGGTATCTCGGGGAAGTGTGTAGTGAGTTCTGTTGTGAGATTGTGTATTAGTTCATTTTTGTTCATGGGGACAGGAATAAAGTCTGGGCTAGTGAGTCGTTGCAGTGCAAGGAATCTGAGTACGTTGGTACAGCAGAGGCTCGGTGTGTTGGGGGCTTTGTCTACGCCCGATATATAGAAGTGAGAAGTAATATACTCTATTTGTTTTTTAATTGCATGATTGTGAAGGTTTTGTGCATTGTTTTTTGGGTACCTCCGTAGTGTGTTTGCGAGTATTTTATGTAGTTCTTCTGTTGCATTTTTTATTTGTTCAGGTTGTATCGTGTGTTCTTTTTGGAGGATGCCGACTACTATGTCCCATGCTTTGGTGCATTCATGTATTACTTCTTGTGGGTTAATCTGTGTCAGGGGAATGTGATTAAGTCCTGCGTCAATGATGGCTTTAAGGTGGGGGTTAGTGAAGATACTCATGTCTAGGGTGACGACATGTGATTCCATGTGGTCAGGGAGCAGTCCATCCGCCAATTGGGTGTGGTATTGGCTAAAACGGGGTTGTTGACAGTAACATCGTCCCGTTTGTTGTTCGGACCAGCTTTCGAGGTCAACTTTCTGGAAGACGTGAGCTTGTTTGTATAGTAGTTGTGCAATGTGGTTATCATAGGTCCAGCCAAATGTGAAGCGCTCTAGGCTACTGTGCAGCTGTGGGATGAACTTTGTTATGATGGATTCGAACAGGGTTCTGGGTTTAACTCGTTCGCATAGTCGGTTTCTATAGTGGAGGTGTATTATGTGTTTGGGTTGCTCTTTGATGTTTCGCCATCCAAGTCCGAGTCTACCATGAGGTAGACGCTGCAGCATTCGGAGGGGTTCTTGCATACCAAGATCAAGGAGGATTTGTGTTAGAAGCTCTCTCTTTTCGTGGTGTTGCTATGAATTTTGTAGACCATGTTTGCAGAAAGGGTTGGGCTAGGGATGCTTGGGTAATCTTTCTCTTATCAGGGGGGTTGTTAAAACTTGCTTGTTTTTTTGTATCAGTCAATGTAGCATTTGTATTTTGGGTAGGTGGGGGTGCGTATATGCGTATACTGGGTAGTGTTTTATAAGTAGTTGCGGACCGTAGGGCTGTGGTGAGGGGTCAGTGTAGTGGCGTTGTAAATGAAGTGACTGTTGGGTCATTTGTAAAAATGCTTCACTTAGGGGTGTTTTTTGTATGTGTGGGAACATTCTCTTGAGTACAATGAGGGGCAGCTTATGGAAAAAGGGTTAGCAAACTTTGCCTTAATTTGCTACTAAGTTAGGCTGGCCTTGGGCTTCAAGAAGGCAACTCCAAATTTAAGCCGGTGGAGGGAAAGGAAAGGGAAGAAGGAACAGTTACAAGGGGGTGGTGCGGTGTGTATGCACGGGGTGAGTGGAAGGCCCAGGCTGTGGTGGTATAGTGAGGAAGGAGGGG